GCGCGGCATGCGCGGCACGCGGGCGGCGGCGAGAAACGCGAGGTGTGCGGAAACACGTTTCCGCGCAGGCGTGGGGGTCAAGTTCGGCGGGCGCGGTCCTCGAGGACAGGCCGGAGAGGACGCGGATTACAGTGGCGCCACACGTGTACACCGGCCGGAGGCGGGATGCAAATTTTGCATTCCCGGGCCCCTTGCCGCTGAAGGCTTGCGGAGGGCCGTCTCGCGCGGCGCATGCCGCGTTGCCAATTGGCGTGGCAATTCATTGCTCCAATACTCCATTGCTCGCCTCGACCCTCCATATCGGGAGGATGACGTTAGGAACGGCCCAGGGCCGTTCCTAACGACGAGCAGCAGGCCGACCCTGTCCTCATTACGCAAGGAGAAGGGCCCATGGGGGCACGAACCCCCTCACCGTGCCGGAACCGTCGTTTGGGGCATTGCATGGCCGGCCGCGGCTGCCGATCGAGCTGCTCGCCTGCTTGCGCGCTGCTTCCTCAATGCTTCCGAGCCGCTGGCTTGCTACGATCTACCCCCCATCTATGGAAACGGATGGAAACCCTTGGAAGCAGCTCGCTGCCTTTGCTGGTGCGACTGCCACCTGCGCAGTATCTCCTGTGTCAAACCCCAACTTCACTGCTGTCGACACCAACGCACCAACCCCCTCCCCCCCCCCAGATCCCATCCCCAGTCCCCACGTTCCAACATCCACGTCACTCGGTTCACCTTTCACTGCCCCTCCCGCCCACTCATTAACCGCACCCCCTCACACCCGCACCCCCTCACAGCTTCGCCCTGACCTCCTTCCCGTCCCCTGCCCTGCAGCTCTCAGCGGCGGCGCGGATCCCCTCTTGGATCGCCTCGTCCTCTCCAACGCCTCTCGCGAGCGCCGCGATGCACGCCCCCGCAAACGCATCCCCAGCCCCTGTCGTATTCTCAACCCTGTGCACGGGCACGCCCTTGAACCGCGTCTTCTCCAGCACACCCCCCTTGAGCCGGAACCGCGTCACCCCCTTCGCTCCCTGCGTCACCAGCACGGCCTGCCCGTTTGCCCCGCCGCCGCCGAGCCTTAGCACGTTCTCCGCTGCACTCTCCACCCCCGCGCCCCGCGGCCCTCCCACCGCGCGTCCAAGCCGCCCCACCTCCACCTCGTTGGGCGACAGGTACTTTACCTCGCTCAGCACCTTCGCCTCCACCACGCGCCCGCTCTTCTGCGTCGACGTCGGCTCGTACCAGCACCCCACGCCACGCTCGCGGCACATCTCCACCAGCTCCGACATATCCGATGGTGATAAATTCCCGTCGAAGCATGCTAGCTTCGCCGTTTGGAGCGCAGCACCGATCGAGTCCCGGCTCTCCGCTATCAGTGACCCGCCCTCCGCGCGGAACACGTCGTCGAAGTCTGCGATCCCCATCTACGCACGTGCGCCATCAAGAGACCACACCCGCCCGCGCAACGCAATCAGAATCGCCGCCACCTGCGCCGTCAGAATCTATAGCTCGCACCAGCCGCTCATCCCACCGTGCACGTTTGCACTACTAGCCGCTCGCGCCGCCGACGTACCGCAAGATCGCCGCTCTCATCGTGCACCACGCAGCACGCGGCCGTGCGTCTCCCCGCGCGCACGCGCACCGCATCGGCCCCCACGCCGCCTCGCACCCACTCCAGCACGGCGCGGCCGGCCACATCGTCGCCGACCGCCGACACAAACCGTACCGCCGCGCCGCCGCGCCGCGCCGCTTCGGCGACGTTCCACGCCACGCCGCCCGCGCGCTGCCGGATGCTCCCTCTGTTCGACGCGCCGCGCACCATCGCCCTCCCGCGCGCCGCGTCGCAGTGGATGTCCAGCGTGACGCC